TTTAGTCCAAAAAAAAAATTTTTGCCATCGGTACTTACCGAGATATAGAGCCATGAAGTTTGCAGAAAATGAGCCGCGTATGGCAACAGCGGCGACTGCCGCTCACCCGGTAAACTTTAGTTTACTTGTAATTGAAGGTTTTTTGTTTTTTTCACTATTTTATTTTTTCACATAACTTATGTGGCCTATGAGACCAAAGTAAGGTGCAATGTATATATATACACTCGTTGTATACAACACAACAAGCACACAAACATAATTATCAATATATTGTTTACAAAACTTGTTTACAAAAACAAACAAACAATTCTTCTTCTTCCTCTTCCTCTTCCTCTTCCTCCTCTTCCTCTTCCTCCTCTTCCTCTTCCTCCTCCTCTTCCTCCTCCTCTTCCTCCTCCTCTTCCTCCTCCTCTTCCTCCTCCTCTTCCTCCTCTTCCTCCTCCTCTTCCTCCTCTTCCTCCTCCTCTTCCTCCTCCTCTTCCTCCTCCTCTTCCTCCTCCTCTTCCTCCTCTTCTTCTTCTTCCTCCTCTCTTCTTCTTCCTCCTCTTCTTCTTCTTCCTCCTCTTCTTCTTCTTCCTCCTCCTCCTCCTCCTTGTGTGCGAGTGTGTGGCTTATAATTGTTTTGAGTCAGGAGTCGGCAGCTGTCAAAGTGACATATTGTGTCATTAGTCACTACCCTACCGCCTGTCAAAACAATGGGGTCGGATGCTGCTTCCCCTCCTCCATTCTATCTAATTATCTTTCTCCCTCATTTTATATCTTTCAATCTGTCTCTCTTTCTATCTGTCTGCCTATCTCTGTCTCACAGGTACACATAAATACAAGTATACATAGTGTAAATTACCTAGGATAACCCAAGAAATCCAGACAAAGTGCTATACTCTGCTTGAAGATGTGAGTAAACGTGATGACACAGTCTTGTGGCTCTCTCTGAGACAGAGAGCTAGATGGACAGACAGGGAGCTTGACAGACAGACAAATAGACAGACAGAAATGTTTGTGTACCAGCAAAACAAAGGGAGGGCAATGGTCATGTATATTACCCTCCTTACCCTCATCAAAGTCAGCTCTTATCAGATGTTATCTCCCCTTATCTTGTCACTGTCATGGGGTGGACTTTTTTTTTTCTTGCTTCAAGGGAACAATATTATTACATCTTCTTCTTCCTCCTCTCCTCCTCCTCCTCTCTCCTCCTCCTCCTCCTCCTCCTCCTCCTCCTCCTCCTCCTCCTCCTCCTCTTCCTTCCCTCCTCCTCCTCCTCCTCCTCTTTCTTCCCTCCTCCCCCTCCTCCTCCTCCATTGCTTTTGGTCTCAAACTCCTCCAAATCATGAAATTGATCTTCACTGACACTTCCATCTGTGTTAGAGCATCACTTGGGAAGAGAAGAGTCCCAGATTTGCTGGGGAATCACATATTTCTTACCGCTAGACATGCTGAAAAATGACAACTGAAATGGCATTCCCACAATGCACCACTGGCTCCCCGATTTTTTTTATATGGTGCACACTGACCATGGAGACCCATTCTCTCACATGTGGGCCTACCAGCTTTCTCCTGCTTGATTTGAAGCTGCTAGAATTTATGCGTATAAATACGTCAGAAACATTGGCTCGTAAGACGTATTTATACGTCGGAAACAGTCAAAGGGTTAATACGACATCCTCAAGACTAATAAGACACTATAAGTGATTTTGATGTGCATCTTCATGCTAGCACTGTGTAAGTATATTTAGGTACAGTTACACATAAGTATAATTATCTATTATATATAAAACATGAAATAACTTTATAACACTTGATATTTTGGAAAGTTTCCAGACACAATGGAGACTCGGTGCTCATAGAGCTCATGGAGAATGTAAACAAACTGGGTGGGGCGCAGTGACCGTATCAGAAAATCTGGTGGGGGAAGCCGTATAGTGAGTTTTGGTCATAATTTGAAATGTCCGTATTAGCGGACCGCCATCAAGCAGGGCCCTACTGTACTTATTTATCCTCTTTTTCATAAAATATTTATTACTTATTACCAAACCTCTTTCTACACATATTTCAATGAAAGGCTCCCCATTTTCATCTATCCCTGGCACCCCAAATTTACCTACTACTCCCAGTACAACAATTTTACCCACTTTAGCATAGAGATTCCCAAACATAAGTACTCTCTTACTTGGTTCAAAATGCCTCATGCACTCACTCAACATTTCCCAAAATCTCTCTCCTCTATACCTCTCTCTTCTCCAGGTGCATAAACACTTACAATATCCCACTTTTCACATCCAACCTTTGATTTACTCAACATAATCCTTGAATTTATACATTTATATTCCTTCTTTTCCTGCCACAACTCATCCTTCAACATTATTGCTACTACTTAGCTCTAATTCTATTAGAAACCCCTGACCTAATCCCATTTATTTCTCCCTACTGAAACTCTCCTACCCCCTTCAGCCTTGTTTCTTGATAGTACGGTGGTAGACAGCAACCCTCCAGGGAGGTACTACTGTACTGCCAGGTGAGTGCAAAATGGAAGCCTGTATTTGTTTTACATGATGGTAGAATTGCTGGTGTCTTTTTTCTGTCTCATAAACATGCAAGATTTCAGGTACGTCTTGCTACTTCTACTCACACTTAGGTCACACTACACATGCATGTACACATTTATGTATACACACTCACCTGAGTTTTCTTTGATTTTATGTATCTTAATATTTCTTGTTCTTATTACTTTTCCTTTCATATCCAAGGGGAAGTGGAATAAGAATCTTTTCTCCGTAAGCCATGCATGTTGTAAAAGTCAACTAAAATGCTAAGAGCAATGGGCTAGTAACCCCTTTTCCCATATAGCCTACTAAAAAGAAAAAGAAGAAAACCTTCATCTCCTAGTTATCCTCTGAAAATTATTAGCAAACAACAAAAAAATGTGGCCAAAGCAAAAAAGTTGTTTCTTGGTATGAATCCTCTAATGCAAAATTTGCAATGAATCTTTCTTTCTTTCAACACACCGGCCGTATCCCACCGAGGCAGGGTGGCCCAAAAGGAAAAACTAAAGTTTCTCCTTTTACATTTAGTAATATATACAGGAGAAGAGGTTACTAGCCCCTTGCTCCCGGCATTGTAGTCGCCTATTACAACACGCATGGCTTACGGAGGAAGAATTCTGTTCCACTTCCCCATGGAGATAAGAGGAAATAAACAAGAATAAGAACTAGAAAGAAAATAGAAGAAAACCCAGAGGGGTGTGTATATATGTGCTTGTACATGTATGTGTAGTGTGACCTAAGTGTAAGTAGAATTAGCAAGACGTACCTGAAATCTTGCATGTTCATGAGACAGAAAAAAGGACACCAGAAATCCTACCATCGTGTAAAACAATTACAGGCTTTCGTTTTACACTCACTTGGCAGGACGGTAGTACCTCCCTGGGCGGTTGCTGTCTACCAACCTACTACCTAGGTTGCAATGAATACATTAGTTTTATCAGTATGTTATTGATAAACTATTTTCAATTTAGAGAATTATATCTTCTTTCTTTCAACACACCAGCCGTATCTCACCGAGGCGGAGTGGAACAAAAGGAAAAACGAAAGTTTCTCCTTTTACATATAGTAATATATACAGGAGAAGGGATTACTAGCCCCTTGCTCCCGGCATTTTAGCCGCCTCTTACGGTACGCATGGCTTACGGAGGAAGAATTCTGTTCCACTTCCCCCTGGAGATAAGAGGAAATAAACAAGAACAAGAACTAGAAAGAAAATAGAAGAAAACCTAGAGGGGCATGTATGTATATATATGCTTGTACATGTATGTGTAGTGTGACCTAAGTGTAAGTAGAAGTAGCAAGATGTACCTGAAACCTTGCATGTTCATGAGACAGAAAAATAGACACCAGCAATCCTACCATCATGTAAAACAATTACAGGCTTTCGTTTTACACTCACTTGGCAGGACGGTAGTACCTCCCTGGGTGGTTGCTGTCTACCAGCCTACTACCTATAAGAGAATTATACATTTATATCCAAAAAAGTGCCTTATGATTTTTGAAATTCCAATATATAGTGGAACCCCAGTTTTCGTCCAGTCTTGTTATCGTACAATTCAGTTTTCAACCACTTCTTTCGGCTAAAGTTGCCCCGTTTTCATACATCCTCTCAGAAATTGTCCGTATCAGATGAATCCGCCTGCTCGCGGGATGCAGCCATTCATAAGTTCGTGACTTTGTCTGCCTTTGTTACTCGTTCAGTGAGCATTACTCCACGCGTTCATCCAGAACAAGACCTTCATTTGGAACAGCAACAGACCTTAGCTGAGGAAATTGCTTCAGAGGAGGAGGAAGAGAGAGAGGAGAATGTGCTTTCTTCAGCAATTAAGGACATTTGTGCAAAGTGGAGTGAGGTGCAAAGTTTTGTGGAGAAATATCACCCTAACAAAGTTGTTGAAAGCCATGTCAGCAATATGTTTAATGACAATGCCTTGTCCCATTTTATTCAAATCTTAAAGAGACACCAGAAACAGGCCTATCTGGACAGAGTTTTTGTGCAACAGGGGCCCAGTGACTCTCAAGTTGGTCCTAGTGCCAGTAAAAGACAAAGAAGGAAAGTAACCCTGGATAGGGCTTTGATAACTTAAGTCCTTATGGAGGGGATTCCCCTTCCAAACAATAACCTCTCCTCCCTCTCCCCTCCTTGCCATCTTCCATACGCCAACAAGAGTCTTCAAGAGAAGTAAAAGTGATGTTAAATGTTCATTAATCCATTTCATTAGTCATTTATATTTATTTCTCATTTTTTCTGTATGCAAAACAATAGTTATTCTCTATAAAATGTATTTTTTGTTAATATTTTTGGGTGTCTGGAATGGATTAATTGGATTTACATTATTTCTTATGGGAAATATTACTTCAGTTTTCGTACAAATCGGTTTTCGGCCGACCTTCAGGAACGGATTAAAGATGAAAACCGGGGTTCCACTGTAATATTTAAAAACTGTGGACTACTCTTACTTGAAGGCAGGCTTTCCACAAGCTTGATCATTGTCTTCATCAGAGCCATCACCGCAGTCATTCTCACCATCACATAACCAAGAGTGAAATATGCATCTGGAATTTTTGCACTGAAAATGGCTGCTGGGACAAGTTACCTGTAAAAAATAAAATATTGTAATTTTTTTTTTTTAACACAGCGGCCATTTCCCACTGAGGCATGGTGACTCCAAAAAGAAAGGAAAATATGTTGACAATATGATGAATACATACTGCTAGCTTTCAACCATGTAACAATAAATATAGATACTGTTATCCAAACTAAATAATTTAATATACTAAATTTATTTTGACAGCATAGTTACATGTAGTTATTTTTATTCACTAACCTGTCCACAAGTATTAGGTTCATCAGAGGAATCTTCACAGTCTGAAGTGCCATCACATCTCCAGCTCTTTGGGATACATATACCAGACTTCTCACACTTAAACTGACTCTCATCATTGCACTCATCTGGTCCAACAGTGGGGCATCCTAGTTCATCTGAAGCATCATCACAGTCTGGGATTCCATCACATTTGTAGGATTCATGAATACACTGCTTTTGATTATTACATTTGAATTGAGCAGCTGTACATGCTATAGGTGGACAACCTTCTTCATCTTTATTGTCATAGCAATCATTGTCACCATCACATACCCAAGCTTGTGGTATGCAAGCACCAGTGCTGGGGCAAGTGAACTGGAAGTAAGAACATGTTTTGTTGGCACAAAAATCTCCTTCATCAGAACTATCACCACAGTCATTCTCAGAATCACATTTCCAGTTCATTGGGATGCAGCGGGCATTGTCACACTGGAAATATGAGGTTTCACATGTGACATTAACACACCCGGTCTCATCTGAAAAATCTCCACAGTCATTATCTGAATCACATTTGAAGGTGTTTGGGATACATCTTCCGGAGCCACATTGGAACTCTTCCTCACGACAAGTAGCCTCGGTACAATTCTGTTCTTCATCAGAGTTATCCAGACAATCATCATCACCATCACACACCCAAGTTTTCTGTATACAACGACCATTGGAGCAAGTAAAATCCCAAGGTGCACATGATGGATCCATTGGTTCGGCATCAGGATCAACTGCACAAGTCAGGCCATCAGAGTTAATTTTTTCACCTACGGGGCAGTCACATTTTGCCTTAAGATTTCCTGTAGTTTCATCTGGCACTGGGAAACAGAATTTCTCACAGTTGTTATTATTATTATAACATGGGTGCCCAACAGCAATATCCTGTGCTTTGACACTGTAGATGCGAATACCATAGAGACGATTGCTCTCTGCAACCTGTGCTACAGTTCTCTCCTGGGAACCATCAGTCTTATTCATTCTCAGAATTGCATCTCGACGCCAATCAGTCACGTACAGCCAATCTGTTTGCAGTACAACATACATTAATAGATAACTTTAAACCTCACAATAAACCAATCATTAAAATTAAATTTTGAGAATACTAGTGGGATTTGAACTCAGGACCCCTGAGATTTTTTGGGCTCTCATGTTAAACACACTACTGTACCATCAATGGTACAGTAGTTAGCATGCAAATTTAAAACCTGCAATTACTCTGAAATTTCTAAAATTAAATTATCCCTTTTACAATCTAACTCAGAATGTATTATTCATATAATTTGCTAATATACATTCTACATTTTATAAAGAAAATTATTCCACATACCATGAATAACATTTATTCAATAAATGTTATAATAAATTATAAAGAACAATGTACCAACCATTATAAATAACAAGGGAGAATGGATGTCTGATGCTCTGAGAGCTGATGGTCTGGACATCTGTACCATCCAAATTGGCATGCTGTACATGATCCAGAAGTGCATCACACCAGTATATACGATTTGTAGAATAATCTATTGAAAGACCATTGGGCCATCCAAGCAAAACATTCCGGAACACCATGACATTCGAGCCATCGAGATAGGCACGACTGATATTGGCTGGACGGTCCCACTCAGAGTAGAAAACAAACCTGAAAAAGCATTACATGTATTACAAGAGTACAGTATTTTAAAAAATTTACTACTGTGAATCCTACTCAACAATGCTTGCCCCCTATGCTACACATTTTAGGCAACATTCACTAGCTCTCTACATATTGATGCTTTTGGGAATATCTCTTCCTGTGGCCTGGCATTGCACAAGGCCTCCCTGAGGTGGGAAGAAAAGTGTCTGCACTCTGAAGGAAGGGTGGGGATGTTACAGTTTGGTGTTACATTTGAATTGTGATGTCTATATATTTTTGAAAAGACAACTACTGAATGGGTGATGATGGATGTATTTCCTTGTGCAGTCCTACGTTGGTGGGGAAATGGCTGATGTGGCCAAAAAAAAATGTATGTACAGAATGCATACATGTGTGGTGTGAATATTAAGCAGAGAATTTAGAGCATGGAGATTAGAAAAAAACTGTGTGAGATTACTGAAATTATAAGTCAGAGAACTGAGGAGAGGCTGTTGAGGTGCTTTCGGCACCCAGACAGGATGAAGCAGAATAGGATGGCTAAGAGGGTCTATAAATCTGAGGTTCTGAGGTAGAGGGAAGGAGGGGTATAGGAGTTGTCCCAAAGATGGGTGGAGGGAGGGAATAAAGGTTTGAAGAACTAGGAACTTGAGTATCCAACAAGCTTGTGTAAGCATGTTAGATCAAAGTGGAGACAAATGAGTTTTATGAGCAGGATAATATTTACAAAGTGATTAAGAAGAACCGTACTGGAGTTGTGAGGGGAAAAAATACAGTGCCCACACTCCATAGGAGGGATATGGGTGTTACATTTTAGAGGGTCACCGATCTGTGATATCTGTACACTTCTGGCAAGGCACTTATTTAACCCTTTCAAGGTTAGAACCCCTGATGTGAAACTGCTCTCAGGGTCAGAGAATTTAAAAATATTTTTTCTTATGAAATGATAGAGAATCTTTTTCTGAAGGTAATGAAACCAAAAGTACAAAATTTGATGTAAAACTTATGGAATCGCACTCTTGCAAAGTTAGTAGTCTCAGTGACATTTACCCATCAGTGATTCTGCCTATTTTGAGCCTTATTTTCAGCCAATTCCATTGTTACAGTCAACCAAACTCATAGCTATTTCATAAGCATTCCTTCTATTCTAATGACTGAGTACAAGAAACTGCCCATTTACCTATTTCATCTACCCAATAAAGTGATCAAAAATTCCAATTTCACACAAAATTCAAAAATTGCCAATTCAAAAATAGGGTCCAGAATAAACAATGTAGACAATCCTGGAACTAAAAAAAAAATTCCTCTGTTCATCAGTTATGTACCCACGCTCCTCTTATATTACACTTGCTTTCTATTTTGAATTTTTATTCACACAAAAAAAAAATATTTATTGTTATGCAGACTACTGCATAATTGTAATAATTGTATAAATAATGTCAGCACACTTGTGGACACGTATTAGACTAACCACTTGGACACGTATATAACAGGTAACATAATTTGTGTACTCTGGAATATCGGCAAAAATTGAACATTTCCACTAATTTGAGCCAATTTCAAGCTACTTTCAGTCCTGAAACCAATTAAAATCATCTCTATTTCTGTAATATATCTTACATTCTATCAAATGACACCAAGAAACCAGAATACAACCATACAAACATATGAAAATACACTGCAGTCACTGTTTTAAACCAAAAACACAGTTGCCGTTTTTTCTAATATAAAAAAACCTTTTGTGCTGCAGGATTTTTTTTATACAGTGCACACTTGAGGATGTGGTAAACCTCCAAGAAGATATAAACCAAGTTTTCTAATGGGCAATGGAAAACAATATTATGTTCAATGAAGACAAATTCCAACTACTCCATTATGGAAAACTGGAGGAAATAATAACTAGAACTGAGTATACTACGAACTCCAATCATACAATAGAGCAAAAAAGTAATGTGAAGGACCTGGGAGTAGTAATGTCTGAGGATCTCACCTTCAAAGATCACAACAGTGCCACTATGACATCTGCAAAGAAAATGATAGGATGGATAATGAGAATGTTCAAAACAAGAGTTGCCAAGCCAATGATGATCCTTTTTAAATTACTTGTGCTCTCTAGGCTGAAATACTGCTGTACTTTAACATCTCCTTTCAAAGCAGGTATAACTGGAGATCTAGAGAATGTACAAAGAGCCTTTACTGCACATATAAGTTCTGTCAAACACCTTAACTACTGGGAATGCTTAGAAGCACTTGACTTGTAGTCGCCAGAGTGCAGGCGAGAGAGATAATCATAATCTTCTACACTTGGAAAATCTTAGAAGGAATGGTCCCTAATCTGCACACAGAAATTACTCCCTATGAAAGCAAAAGACTGGGCAGGTGATGCAAAATACCCCAGTGAAAAGTAGGGGTGCCATTGGTACACTATGAGAACACACAATAAGTGTCCGGAGCCCAAGATTGTTCAACAGCCTCCCACCAGGCATAAGGGAAATTACCAATAGACCCCTGGCTGCCTTCAAGAGGGAGCTGGACAAATACTTAAAGTCAGTGCTGGATCAGCCGGGCTGTAGTTCATATGTTGGACTGTGTGTGGCCAGTAGTAACAGCCTGGTTGATCAGGCCTTGATCCACTGAGATGCTTGGTCATAGACCAGGCCATGGGGGCATTGACCCCTCCAGGTAGATTTACCACACAGACCCATTCTCTCTTATCTAGGCCCAAATTTACCGCTCATAGCTTATCTGAAATAAGCTATGAACTGAAATGTTTAAAAAATGGCAGGACGATAGTACTGTACCTCCCTGGATAGTTGCTGTCTACTATTTATGTATCATTATTACAACATACTGTTCAGAAAAGAAGCCTTCACTAGACTAATAAGTCACTATTAGATACACATTTTCATGTCATGGCACAAACAGGGTGGGAGGAGACAACTCGGGACCCTGAGTAAAAAGAAATGTTCAAGTTACCTTAGTAGATTAACAAGGCACTTTAAAATTTATAAAAATATATGGATAAAAAATGTGTATAATGTAATGTAGCAGTAGCCTGTAATGTAAATTTAATGGAGCAGAATTAATACATGTACTACTTCTTCTTTCAACAAACTGGCCATATCCCACCAAGGCAGGGTGGCCCAAAAGAAAAAACAAAAGTTTCTCCTTTTAAATTTAGTAATACAGCCTCTCCTCACTTAACCCTTTCAGGGTTGAGACGCCCTCTCCTAAACTCGTTCTCAGGGTCGAAAATTTTTCGAAAAATAACAAGAAAATTATTTTTTCTTATGATATGATAGAGAATCTTTTCCCAATCATAATGGCACCAAAAGTATGAAATTTGATGGAAAGCTTATGGAATTATGCTCTTGCAAAGTTAGCAGTCTGGACGATGTTTATGCATCGGCGATTTTGCCCACTTTGAGCCCTATTTTCGGCCAATTCCAGTGTACTAGTCAACAAAAATCATATCTATTTCACTAGAACTCCATATTTTCTATCGAATGAGTACAAGAAACTACCCATTTACCGATTTCAACTATCCAATAAAGTGGTCAGAAATTGGCAATTTTGCCAATTTCACACAAATTTCAGAAGATGCCAATTTCCAAATAGGGTCCAGAATAAACAAGACAGACATTCCTGACACTAAAATAACATATTCTCTGCTCATTAGTCATGTCCCCAGGCCCCTCTTACATCTCTTTTACTTTCCACTTTGAATTTTTATTCTCAGAAAAAATAGATTTACTGTTATGCAGACTACTGCACTAGTGTACAAATGAGGTAGAAATGGTAGAAATAATGTCAGCACACTTGTGAAAGGATATTAGACTAACCAGTTGACGTGTATTGGATGCTTGGCATGATTTGTTTACTTTTGAACTTTGCTAAAAATCGAACATTTCTGCTATTTTGAGCTCAATTTCAAGATACTTTTCATTATGAAACCAATCAAAATCATCTCAATTTCTGTAATATGTCTTCCATTCTATAAAATGAGACCAGGAAAACTTAAATACAACCATAAATACCATACGAAAATACACTGCAAAGTTGCTGTTTGAAACAAAAAACACGTTCGGAGTTTTTTTTTTCTCATTATGCACTGTGTGCTGCAGGATTTTTTTTATACCATGCACACTGACCACATAGACCCATTCTTTCATATGTAGGCCTACCAGCTTTCTCTCACTAGATTTGAAGGTGCTAGAATTTAGGCGCACTAGTACGTCAATAACCCTGGTGCGTAAGCCGTACTAGTATGTCGGAAACCCTGAAAGGGTTAACAATGGGGTTCTGTTCCTAAGAGTAAGTTGGTAGTGAGTTTGTGTCAACCATCTTTAGATATTTTTTAACGTAACCTTTGCACCATTTATAGCAATTTTAGTGTATTTTTAAATGTCTATACAGAAGTGTACTGTATACTGTAATAAACACAATATAAGAAATCAGCTTTAATATAAATTACTTAGGTTTGCATACTGGTTGGAGAGCTGATCATAAGTCAGAGTGGTCAGAAAATGAGCACATCGCTAAGTAAGGAGAGGCTGTATATACAGAAGGGGTGCTAGCTTCTTGCTGCCAGCACTTTACTCGCCTCTTGTGACATGCACTGCTTATGGAGGTAGAATTCTATTCCACTTCCCATGGAGATAAGCGTAAGTAAACTTGAACAAGAACTATAAAGATAAGAGAAGAAAACTTAGAAGGGTAGGTATATACGTATATGCTTGTACATGCATGTGTAATGTGACCTAAGTGTAAGTAGAAGTAGCAAGATGTACCTGAAATCTTTGCATGTTTATGAGACAGAAAAAAAAAAGACATCAGCAATCCTACCATTGTGTAAAACAATTACAGGCTTCCATTTTACACTCACTTGGCAGGATGGTAGTACCTCCCTGGATGGTTGCTGTCTACCAACCTACTACCCAGAGAATTAATATTTATATGACACAAATGTAAGTCACACATCAGGGCTCAACATTAATTTATCATTAAGT